GAGAAATTTTCCAACCCGAAAAATTCCTAGACCGGACCGGGAATTGAACCCAGCCACCTCCAGCATGGTCTTGCTTTGTAGCTGCGCCTTTACCGACTGAGCTAAGGGAGGCCCCAGAATTGTTCCGCTAGTTCCAATTCGATATGTGCATGCACCGCTATTGATAGTATCAAAATAGTACTGTGCCTTGTAGCACATAACATATGTGGAACTGGATCATTAAAAATCGACCCCATTTCAGTGATTTCAAGTGGTATAGATGGGCATCGATCTGTCAAATTGAGGGGGCTTGTCAATTCATTTAAGTAATTCTACCGTGGTTTATAATTCTATGTTTTTCTAGCACTGTTGAACTCATGTCTTACTATTTCTATAACCATTTTGTGCTTTATTTATAATTATATAGCTAACTTTAACAAATTCATCACCTTGATTCACACAGCAAACTGTGGTAAACTTAGAAAAAACATGTATGTAACATTTCCTTCTTTGGACATTTTCTATTTTTTTTTTAACCAATTGCATCAAACTTTGATTTCATTAGATGTCGTTTTAGGAAAAACACGACCACGTAAATTTGGAATTAAGTGCTTACATTTTGAAGTTCAGAGAGAAGCAGCACAATTTAGAACAAGAGTCAGAAATCCCATTTGAAAAATATGCAGTGTTTTGAGCTGACTTTGCATCGTTTCATTGGCAAAAATTTTGCAAGCAGGACGATAAATGATATCGAGCGCTTATCAATACCTGCGATATCCAAAATTTCAACACTCACTATGTTTCTCAATTGCCTTCAATTGAAAATTTCTTCGAAAAAACGTGGTAAGGTTGATCCTTGTTGATCGAAAAGGCAAAGGAGGAGCTACACACCATCATAACATTTTTTTCGCTAAGGTCCCAGGGTGGGACTCCCAGCAAGATGTTACAAAGTTAAGCACTATTTACTAACGAAAATAATCGTTAATAATCACTGGATATTTCATGCTGTAATCATAAGTTGACTCACTAAAAGCACAGTTAACAATATTTCAACATACCACAGACATAATGATAGTTTCACACCTATTCAACGTAATCATCAAATCTGCGAATTGTTTGCATCAAATTACATGAAATTTACACAATTTTCGTAATTAATCCAATGCAAAAAGATCAAAGAGACGAAGAAATATTACTGAATAACAACGCTCTCGATTGGCTTCTATCCTACTTGAAAATACTAGCTAAAAATCCTTTGAGAAGCCCCCTGTCGAACTAGTCGAAAAAAGAATGCCCACTAGGGTGTTTCATTTTGAAAAAAGTGATGAATTTTTGATAGGCCACCCTCCAGTTCGATTCATAGCCCCAAAATATGAACCTGTGCAAAAAATGGTAAAGATTGATGAAGGTTTAGAGGTCGCGCCAATGATTTGGATTTTGTATGGAGATTTTGGTGAATTAGTATGGGAAATTATTGATTTTCGTTTACATTGCTCTAACTTTGGTTGTAGTTGTCCAAACGTTGAAAAAAAAAATATGTGGTTGTCATGACAATGATCAACAAGCCTGTTGTTGTTGCGATGAAATTGGCGTTGTTGCCTTGTACATATTCATCTGTCAATTTACCCTATTTTGCCATTTTTTCACATTTTTATTATTCTTGATACGCTGCAAAACTGAGCGTAGCAACTGTAGGCTTTTTGTTTATTGCCATAGCAATAACATACTAAATTTTTTCGACATTTGGACAAGTAGAAGCAAAGTTATAGCGATATAAGCGATTTTTTAAATTCTTCCATAGTAATTCCCATACAAATTTCAAATCATTGGCGCGACCTCTAAACCTTCATCAATCTTTACCAATTTTTGCACAGGTTCATATTTTGGGGCTATGAATCGAACTGGAGGGTGGCCCATCAGAAATTCATCACTTTTTTCAGAATGAAGCACCCTAATGCCCACACGTCAAACTCCGTAAAGCATTTAAACCGCGGAGGAACAAAGGAGACGACACATTATCTGGGCCTCACCTGTTTACATCTCATTTCCCATTACCGTGATTATTGACACGCCTCTTCGGTCACTCTGTAACTCTTCACTCCTATGGTAAAATCCCATAAGCAAACATCAGTCTGTGCGTGAAACTTGGTGAGCATTTTCTTACCCTTTCACTCCTATGAAAATCCCATATGATTTTGTCAATCTTTGCGTGAAAAAACGGCGGCTTGCTGGAGGAATGAAGAGATAAGACAAAGTCCGTTAGATTTCATACATAGATTGTCAGAGGCTTATGGAATTTTACCAGGAGTAAAGAGTTGCAGAGTCGCCGTCAACGTCAATGCTTACTTTCATAAGGGCCAATGCTGCAAACGGAAACAATTACTTTTTGCGTGAATTTCTCGAAAATGAAAACTCACTCAAGAAAACCAACACCGATAAAATAAGTGGCTTGGATTGACTTTGACGTACTAGACATTTACGAAAGAAGCCATTATTTATGTTTTCGACATTGGTCCTTATGAATGCTCAGTGTCGATATCACGAAAATTTTATTTTGACAGAACGATGTCCAACTATGCCAGTTATACCACTGAGGCAAAACAAAAAAGGGGTCAGCTTTGAGTCAGCTTTTTGCATGAAGTTCCACATATGTTATGTGCTTGTAGTTAACGTGTATCTTTTTGATTTCGTCAAAATATTAAGTTTCACACGGACGAGTTTTCTCAAAAACCGTTGAAATGGATCCTTTGTCCAGCAGTAGTTAGTTTCCAACAACATGAAGTTCATGTGATCCGAAGTGTATTCCACAGGTTCTCTGATTTCCTACTGGTGAAATCTCTTGTCCACAAAATATTGTAATTGCGGTCAACCACTTCTGTAATTCTGTTTTGTCAGAAGGACACCTATGGAAGAACAATAACACCAAAGCAGCATCAATATACTTTTCAACAAATATAGATATTTCAATGTCAATACTACCTGTGGCTTGAAACTCCATCTTCGAATAACGGTTTATCGATGGTTTCGACACACCCGGTTAAAAAACATATCGTGCTAACAACATTCGGACCTCATGATTGATAAATGAAACAGTAGTAATCCTAAGCGGCACCCGTAAATCGTAAACGAAACAATTACATCACAGCAAGAAATTGTTCGAAAACACTACGTGCTTGATAATTTTTCCACTGATGTCATAACGATGCTATGTTAGTTCAAACAATCGCATACACCATAAACGCAGCTTAAACTTGCAAAGTGTTCTTGGACGACTTTCGTGCCACCCGAGTGGGTGTAGCCCGTCGTTGAATTCGGCTAGGATCGATCCCTCTAACTATCGTCGGCCGAAGATGACCATCGGAGTCCTCTGGTAATACTATGCCTATCCAGGAGGTGAGTTTGGGGAATCGACAAGTCCCACGCTGGTGTCTAGCGAGTATCCGCCATTGCATTGCTACACAGTTCGAAAAAGTAGTGTAAATTTCTGTTCAATATGATGCACATAAATGGAGCGTCACATATCATATACGTTTACATTATAAATCATGTAAAGTTCTGACACATTTCATGCAATGTATCAAATATTGTATACAAAAACCCATCTTTGTAAACAACAAATACAAGTCTACGTGAATGAATGTTTGCATCACAATTAAAATTCAGAATTTTTATCTGTGTAGGACTCACGCAACGGGCGTGCAGAAGCCAAAGTTGTGGCGCTGAGGGTCTGGGAAGGTCTGGCGGGTCTGCCACCGCTTAGTAGTGCCCAAAATCCACTATCTACCACTTTTTGTTAAGTAGTTGTGATTTCACAATACCTATTTGGTTCAATTTTATACATGGATGCTGCATTTTAGTGTTCGTGAGATTGCGCTTGGAGATCTCTATGCAATCAAAAAATTCCACAGGTTTGATCGAAGTGTTTAAGCCAGTCTTGTAAGCGGTCACGGTAGTCGACACATTTTCTGTGATAATTGACTGCCTTTGCCTCCGACACTTGCAAAACAAGCTATCATATTACAGTACCAAACTAAAATGTCGTATGACAGGCTCTGTCATACGACACTGTCGCCGAAGACCGTCATGAATGTATGTATTTTAGTTTTTCTCATAATAAGAGCTGCTGATGGTGTGCTTGTGTGAATTCTGAAAATAGCAAGCAATGATGTCCTGGTAATAATATTTCTGATCAGAAATGGTTTGATTTACACCAAATTGAGGAATTACAACGAAATCACACATGTCATATGATTGCTATTTTGATTATTTTCTTTTAGCTCGAATGTTATTCTACCGCTCGTGTTGTGTGAGAGAGACGACGGTAGAGCATGAGTGTTCGAATACAAACAGATTGTCGCGCACGACAACGAAGCGAGTGTAGTAAAAAACTGCCGTTGCCAAAAGCACTTGGGTTGATTGTTGTTGAGCTGCAGTGGGTGCTGCAGTTTCCGTAGCTGCTACGGTAGCAACTTGTGTGGTTGATAAACCAGATGACTCTTGCTGATCCTCAGAATTGGACGACTTGCAACTGTCGCAACCTTGGATCCCTTTTCCTTCGCCGGTTTGAAACATACAAGAGTGTGGTGACGTCCCTTGCAGTTCCTGCACGGGAATTTTGACTGGCAATCCTTAGCGTGATGTCCTGAGCTTAAGCAGTTTCGACAGAGTCCATTTAATTTAACAAGACTATCCCTGTCCGAGACTGCCATCCCTTGAAATTTGTTGCACTGATGAAGAAGGTGATCCGATGAACAGGCAATGCAACGTCTCGTAGATGTTTGTGCACCGTAGTTGACCTTCATTGATTGAGCCTTCGGTTTCGGTTGTTGTTGCAATTGGCTGAGACCCCTAATATCGACGGGCTTCGGTGGCAAGCTGTCCAAAACCTGGATTCTACGCTGAATGAATTCGCATAAATCCTCCAAAGTATCCTCCTTCCCACCCTCTACGCGTGACCGGTCCAATCGAGCTGTAAGGATGTTCACCAGCAGAAGATCCTTATAGTCAGCCGGTTGGATGACTTAGTCGAGAGTCTGCACAATACGTTCGAAGCCTTCAAACAGTATGTGTAAGTCAGCTCCGGATTCTTTCGAAAGCATGGGTAGCTTGAAGAGAGCTTGTACCTGCCGCTTCCTCAGCTGTTTGCTGTTGTTGTAGCGTTTCAACAGCGTATCCCATGTTACCTGGTAATTGGCTGCCGTGATCGGGAGTGGATCGATCAAGCCTTTGGGTTCCTCTTCAAAGCAGCCTTTCAGATAATGGAATTTTTCCACTTCCGGTAGAGCTGCCTTCCAATGGATTAGCGACGTGAACAAGTCGCGGAAGCTCAGCCACTCGTCGATGTCTCCACTGAATGTGTGCAGCTTGATCTGCGGTAGACGTACGTGCTCCATGGTAACTGACGTTGTTCCCTCACCAGTTCGGAAGGACTGGTCTAATACTTGGAGTTTCTGAAGCTCCTTGATCTTGTCCATTAGGAAGGACTTGATCTCGTAATAGCGATCGCTGAACTCGCTGCGTTCCTTCTCCAGTGAAATCTTCTCAGCCTTGAATTCGTCATGAGCGTAGATCTCCACCATGGTTGCACTAAAGCTCTCCCAAAGCTCGTCCAGTTTCTCAACACGTACCTCCACCTCGGTAATGTTATTGGATTCCGTAAACGCTTGAATGAATCGGTGGATGTCATTAAGCGACAGCTGTATCTGCTTCAATCTTGCCGTCAATGCTCGCATCGATGGTGTGGATGCGCCACCGGGTGCCATGTTGTCGTCGTTTCGGTAATGCGATCAGCAAAAAGAGAAAGGTGCGGTGTAGTATACTGCAGAAGCCTAGCTCTGCTAGGCATATACTATCTTAATTTACCCGGAGAAACAACTGATTGTGCTTCAAGTTCCAATGAAATCCTGCAGCCACGTGACGTCACACGTATGGCTTCCGTTCGACGACAACTCAGCAACAATGGTGTGAATCAAGAGGAAAAGAGGTGGTGTAGCAAACAGAGTGAAGACCTAGCTTCGCTAGGCATATACTGCTAAAGTTTTACCCGACAAAGCAGATGGTGATGCTCCAATTAAATCATTCAACTATGCAAGCAGCCTTGAACCCAATCGTCAGAAACCAACAAGTACTCGAACGGAATGTGGATGAAGAGGAGAGACTGGGTGTAATATCTAACAAAATGGCTTCGGCCAGGCATATACTGCGGCAACTCACCACATGAACCAATTACTGCACCTAACGTTCAATAGAATTCTTAGCAATACCAGCAAACGACCAAATCCAATTCCGACGAAATCTCGAGAACGGGGTGCCAAAAGGGCAATCAGGGCTCAGCGATTAGAAATGTAGAACGAAGAGGGTTGATTCCAATTTAAAACAGTGTATTTTCATGCGCCTAGCTTCAGCAGTACACTTATGTGTATTTACCTGGCAAATAATTGCGCTGCTCCCAGTCTGCGTCGAAAGCGAAGTTCATCGGCCCTTGCACCGGTCGTTGACTCTGAAGACGGTTGCTCACTGGTCGTAGTGGCGGTCGATGACCTCAATCGACGAAATTGATGACCTCTGATGACCTCTGTTAGGATTGTATGCCAAACCACTGGCTTTCGAATCCAAACTTGATAACTTCCGCCCGTGTCCTCAGCGTGGTTGGCGAAGGATTAGATAGAAGAAACGTCGAATGGTTGGCGTTAGTTTCAGGCAATCTAACAACGACTGGACATATATTGAATTTAAATAATTTACCTGGATATCCAGAGCAGGAGCTGATTCAGTAGTCCTAGTCTTCCGCCGGGATGGTGATGAGCGTGTCGAACCAGAGCGTCCAAGCAATTTCCTAAGTGAGTCCAACTCAACCGTTGAGCGTTTCCAGGATGCAGCCGTAATCGATCGATGTCCACGATCAATCCTCAATCCAATGAGATGAGTCCACAGAATGCTTCGATTGTCCGTAAATGCTATGGTTGCCGCTTGATTGTTGTCGAAGAAGGCAATAATAGAAGGGCACGCGATGGCGACGAATAGTCCACAATGGATCAGCCAGTTAAGAATCCAAACCTCGTTTCGAACAATCCATTCAACGGAAAACCAGGTGTTAGAAGGTTGTATTTCTCAGCTCGGCTGGACATATATCGTGCACGCACGGGTTCACTAACTTGACCAAACCCAATGATTGAATTCGAAGCCAACCGAAAACCAGTAGCGATGGCGGTGTGACGCCAAATCCAAAGCGTGCAAGTGTCGTAAATAGAGCAAACCTTCAGCAGAATGGCGCTTGCCAACCAAAAGGCGATGGCGATCCAATTGCATTCCAGCTACGACCAAGTGTAGTGTCGCGAAGTTTCCGTACAGTCCACAGTCTGTCCTGACCCGTATCCGGTTCGAAGGACCAAAATGAACGGGGTGGTCTAGTTACCTTCGATGGACAAGCTCAGATGCGATTCCAGCCCCTAACATCGATGATGATAAAGTTGCTGTGAGGTGGAACACGGTGTTGTGCTGAAGAATCCAGGGTTGTTCTGTCTGTCAAACACCAATTACATAACTCGCGACCGGTTAATTAATTAACTACACTTTATTTGAGTCAACATGCAAACAATTTAATTTCAAACACTACATATATTCAGCACTACATATAAAACTTAAATTAACACGAATTAAAATTCCTCCGTGGGTCTCCGCGCGTGCGATTCAGTGACTTGGTTGAGGTGGACTGGTCGCAGCTTCCGAAGATCGCCGTAGGTAGTCCGGTGCTTCGTTGATGCGATGATTTCCCCCGTCGATATCTGAGAGTGGGTGATATTCTCACCGCTCTTATCACTAGTCATCCTTATCACTCCTAAAGCAATCGATGACGATGATGGTGATGATGACGATTGTGCTGGCTTCGCTCTCTCCAGAGTGAGTGTTCCTGCGTGTGCTGAGAAAACTGATTCGATCGTGCAGGGCTAGATCGACATATCGGTGTGTGGTTCTTGTGCTGCTTTGGTGCTAGTCGCGTGGGGATGTTTATACACTTGATTTTTTCAAATGCACAATCACATTTACTTTAAATGTATTTCACCTTGGTTCAATGTGTTATACACGTTAATTTATAGTGTTTCAAACTTTGAAATGTCGAAAAAATTTCACTATCTATTCAAGTGTATTACACATTGGATCACACTACTGTTCAAAACAGATGGATTTAAAGTGTTTTGCATTTCAATACAATGTGAATTGCTTGCTCAGAAAGGTAAACACAGAAAACAAGAGTTGTGACTTTATCGTATCAACCCGCCTCATATTTGAGAACAACCGTGTCACAGTGAAATCGAACAAAGACTACGACAGCAGCACACCCCAACAGTCCATGATCGAATCCAAAATCAGACCCATTAAAAAGATATGTGAAAGCTCTGGCCTCTGGCAGTTTTGTTTATATATTTGTCGATTCATTTTAAGAGTCGGCAAAGTAGAAGTCGATGAAGTAGAATATTGTAGAATATTGAACTATGATGTGCAAAGCTATTGATATCATCATATGAGGCACATATAATCCAAGTGTGTCACAATTTAAATCCAAAGTGTTCAGGCATGATGGTTCATAGCATAAGATTCACACATGAAATGGACGTGTTTCACAATAATCGTGATAGTGTGAGACACATGATAATAACGTGTAGAATTTTTTGAGTGCAGGAACCGAACCGAACTTTCGATTATTTTACCAAAGCACACTGAAAATAATATTAAGTACATATAACGAAAGCGTTAGTTTATTCCACGAATCTATTTGTTGATATCTGCAACAAAATATATTCGTACAATATATGCATCTAGTTTCGTTTAAATATCTTGAATCATTCCATTCGGAACATTTATGTATTTTTCGAATGTATCAAAAAATACATACGAATTATTCATGACAAGAAGTTGAAGCATTGCAAATTACACAAAATATTCGTATAGCAATAAAACGTCATGCATACATTGTACGAAAATTTCATAGAAAATAAAACCAACTCTCTGGCTTTCGTGTTATATACGAAAAAGGATTCAGAGAACGAAAATATTTCATAGTTTTGCAAATTCGCGTGACTTGAGCAAATGTTCCTGTAAAAACTATGTATATAGAAAATCATTTATTCTTCTTAAACGCAACAGTTACAAATGAGAATTATTATTCTTAGTGCAAGGTAATAACAATAGAATTCGTTAACTTGACCTTGAAGGCGTTGGGGCTAAACCGAAGAATGTTGTATCGAATGTAATAACTCGAAATGAAACCTTGTTCATCCTGTTACTGCTCATGCTTTCAATCGAAGATAATGCTGTTTTGGGAAGACATCCTGTTTCCTGTCTCCATTCTGTCTCCATTATTGACCTTGGACCGATTTCCTGCTGGCTGATGCTGGAATTGTGCCTCCTTCGAATATACTTAGTCCACATATGGTTCTGAAGGGCCGAGGGTGAAGTTTGGTTGCCGTCCATGCGGTATTTTATCGCCGTCCGTGATGGAATAGGTTACCCTTTTTTCAATGTTCTGATCGAGGCAATACCCGATAGAGGAAATAAGGCCTAGAAGTTTAATTAGGGTCAAAGTATTAAGTGGAACATTCGACAAATATCTTTAGAAATTACCGTAATCAGCTTATCCGAGATTCCGTTACCAAAGTGCATATCTTGAATTCAGAATGTACGCATTACAGTATCCTTAATGTCATCCCACCAGTAGCGGAACATAATTGGAACCATCGACATTTTCACTTGGTTGCACTTTTGTGTTCACGCATTAAGGAGACTTTAAACTACTTTTGTTTGACTTGATTGCATTTGTTAAAAGCATTTACGTTTTATGACGTTTCATTCCATATCTTAGCGAATGTAAGAAATATAGTGCGTATATTTTACAAATTATGCGTAATTTTGGCATTGTAGCTTAAGACACACATATTAACACAATTAACGAAACATTTGTTTTATCTACGAAAGCCATTTTTAGGAAATGAGCGTAATAGAATTAACGAAAAAATATTTTCAGTGCACTCAATATTTTCAGTTTCACTGCTTCATAAGTGGACCCTACACGATTGCTTTTATTGACAATAATCGTATTGTCAACACATTCTATATTGACGTCAAAACATTGAGATTGACAATATTTCTGAATTCACATCATCAATATTATTGTATATATTGCAAGCCTGCCTGCAGGAACTCATAGCTAATGAGTAACTGCTGGTTTTCCCAAATATGAGTAAATTTCGTATGGAAAGAAAATGTTCTAAGTCAATTGAATTCAGTCACTGAGTCGATTCTGGTTGGCCGTGTACGAGCACACACATATTCAAATTGTTCCTTTATTTATTCGCTTCATTAGATTTCCCAAAGTTAAGTTTATTTTTCTTTTCAATGCTTCATAGCATGTTCTCGCTGTATGCTCCTCACGTCACTATCAGAAGTTTATTTTCTCTGGTAGCAGTTGTGTATGGGGGGATACAGTCCAAAATGCACCCGTGTGGCAAATAATTGCCCAATGTGGTTTCTCATAGCTTTTCTTGATTAAATTTGGATAATTTACGAGTATCATAGAAAGCCTACACGGTAAGAAAAAAGTACCCAACGGCCAGTTCACTTTTACCTACTTTTTTTTCTATTTAATCTCCTTTGCTCCTTCTAATATTGTTAAAAACGGAGGAGCAAAACCACCCAACAGAGGAAGTAAAGTGTGGGAACCCAACGTTGAGTATAATCATATTTACCTACTTTTGAGTACAACTAA